ATTCTATAGAAGCTACTACTAAATTTAGATTAAAATTTATTTATTTCACTTTTGATATATTCAATAAGAAAATAGGTATTAAACGTTAATAATCAGGATTATAGTAATGATAACTTTTATTAAAAACTTACCTGCAGTTCCTTTATTTTATTGGCAATTATTCCGTTTAATGGAAGCATTAAAATCATCACTGCAATTCCAGCTAGAACAGAAGGACCTAATAAATTCCATAAAAAGTATACAGCCAAGATAATCTGAAGTGGTGCCGACCATAGAAGATTTAAAAAAGTCATGAGATCCATGAATCTTTGAGAATCGACCGACATTAAATTAACAATTTCTCCAACTGTTGACTCACTTCGTGCACTACTGGAAAGCTGAAGAGACTGAAAAAAAATTTTTTTTTTTAAATTATATAGTTTCACTTCCTTATTATTATTTTGTTGACATATTCTTGTCCTTATTAGTTGACACTAATGCCTATTACTAAGCCGATACAAGATCGGGGCTTAGCCATCACTATGTTGGCCGAAATTTAAGTGGACTGCCAATTTTGGAATTATTATTTTTTTGTAGAAAATTAGGACCCGAATATAATATTATTTTTATTTATATAGCCTATGCATTAGATATCTATATCTATAAGTGACAAATTATTGTTGGTTATTGTTAGAGCTAAATCAAGACAATATCCCATGTGCCATCAGTAGGCAGCCCGGCTTATCCACCACACCAGGAAAAATAGGCCTCCTCACAACTATTATTCTGGTAAATGTACTTGCATTTTATGATTATAAATATAAAAAATAAAAATGAAACTTTGTTTTTCGTTTCCTCTTGTACTCTGTTTTCGTAACTGTCTAAAACATTGTAAACCTATTTTATAAAATCTAAGACATATAGTCATATCGAATGCATAAATTTATAATTACAAATTAAAATGTACACTTTACAAAAAAATAAATTTTGTAATAAATTTATAGAAATATTTTCCCGCAAGTTTTGACCATTGCTCGAATTAACTCGAAACTAACACTTACATCATACAGACTTCACACAAACATTAAGCAATCGTGGGCTCGAAAGGCACTCCATGACAGGCATCCTTATGGACTAGCCCAGGATTTTGTTGACAAAACTGCGTCAAACAGCTGGTTAGATCGGGGATGCCTCTTTGGGGAAACGGAAGGATTCATGATTGTCATACAGAATCAGGTCATAAATACTGAAAACTACAGAAAACACATACTCAAAGATACAACACTCACAAATGAGACATCCAGAAAATGTCACATCATGCAAGAAACTTTACTTCTGGTTGCAAGCTCTTGGCACAGACAGATTACTTACATAGACACAATCAAATAGCAAATATAATACACCAACAGCTTGGAAACAAACACAAATCGGTAGACATCCACGAACCATACTACAAGTATATACTACAAACAGTATTGGAAAACAACACACACAAAATGTACTACGACAGAGCCATAATCACAGATAAAACAATTTACTACAACAGACCAGACATCACACTCATTGACAAACACAATAAAATCACATACATTATAGACATAGCCATTCCAAACACTCATAATGTACAAAACACATACACTGAAAAAATCAGCAAGTACACAGAACTCGCCCAGGAAATAAGGCATCTGTGGAGGATGGATAGGGT